CTGGAGATGTGAGGCCAGGAGGGTATAAGCCACGGGCTGGTGGTGGCCATCTTTCCCATCACATGGAAGACTGCAAGCACAATTATGTGAGCACAGCCAAGAGACAGAGAGAGAGAAAGAGAGAGAAGCAGCTCCTGAAACAAGATGCACACTGAACTTCCCAGGTACAAGTACTAATAAATTTTTTTGTGTGTCCCCTTAGGCTAGTTCAGAAATGCGATTTCTGAATTTGCAATCGACAGAGTTCTAATACAAAGACAATTTAAAAATATCCAAAGAATATTTTTACTCTATAGTGGTATTTTTCTGATGTTCCAAATGTTCAACAGGTGCTTGTTATTGAAAAGATACATGATTCTATATAAGAGATAGCATTTACTGAGTACTTACTACATGCTAGGCATTGTTCTAAGTATTAATACTTTCCATGCAGTGAATAAATTAATTCTCATAAAATTACTTGAGGTGGGTATTAAACAATTAAGGGACTTGTCCAAGGCCACAGAGCCTACAACTGGCAGAGCTGGGATGTGAACCTAGGCAGACTGGCTTTAGTATGCGCTCTTAGCCACTCTGCTAATACTTATACAACCTGCTTTTGTCCTATGTCCAATAACAAAATAGAACAAGGCACAGTATCCCTTCTCCTCCCTAAGCGTTGAATGCCCACTTGGCCCCTACGTGCTGTATAACCTTCCAAGGGGATCAGCAGGAGGGCCTTGCCACTCTTTATAGAGAATCACTATCCCTCAGACTTGGGAAGAACATTTCAGAAGGAACACCGTCCATAAGTCTCAGCCTATACTGGCACAATACTCCTCCCTGAAAATACCCATCTTTTCATAAGTCTATTGAAAGATATTAAACCAGTGATGAATTTAACCCCATATATAGGTGAACTGCAGTATGTAATATGAAATAAATATATCTGAGAAAGTTAGAGGTGAGATGAGAAAGGGTATTCCCACTGCTTAGGGAGTAGAGTTGAATGCAGGAAAATCTGTCTTAACTGGGCAAAGTCACCAGGTTTACATCTTTCATCACTTGTTGGTAGCCGGGGATGAGTCTCCTTGGAGCTCAAATTCTCACTGCTCTCTGTTCCAGTCCCCTGCAGAATTGTCAGATCCCGCTTTTGCATTTAGTCACTTGGTTTGTTATATTCGAGATTCACAAGGCTGCAGGACAGAGAGACAGAGTCACTGAGTCTGTAATAATCAAAAGGAGTTTTATTGTCTAGCTCGAGCTAGGGTCCAAGCCCCCAGAGTGCAAGCACAGTGGCCTCTTCTCTGGGCAGGGACACTCCTTTGTGTGTTAGTCCCCTTTTTATAACTCAGTTGTTTACACACTGGTCATGCATCTGCTCCCACAGTGATTCTTACTTCATCCTGCCCCTGATGGGCTCTAACCTGTTCCGGGTCCTAGCTGAGAGACTCCGGTTTCCGAGTTCTTTGTCTTTTTCCTCTGCATCCCATAATGTACTCATAATGCCTTGCGGTTAGCAAACAAGCAGTAAACAGAAGCTGGAAGGTGTTCATTGTCCTTATAGCCCAGTATCTTACAGGTTACCTGCTGAAACCCTGGAACTGCCTCAGCTGTTGCTCTTTTAGCTCCTGGACTGTAGCAGCGCGCGTGCACCTCCCCGCGCGTCTGCTGTGGCCGGGGCTGGCCGGGGCTTGCGACGGGAGCAGGCGCACGGGGAAGGCGGCGCCTGCGCAGTTCTGAGGCGCGGAGGGCAGCTAGGGAAAGGAGCAACTCTTGACTTTGCCATTAGAACAGGAGCGACGGGGAACACTAGAGGTGTTTATCTTTCTTCTGAGGAATGCCCAGTATTTTAAAAAAGAGACTCCTGACTCAATGTGCAGACTCACAAGGACACACGTTAAAAACAGTGGCGTGGTTTAAAACGAGATGCTCTGCAGTGGGGTGACGACAGGTTTGCTTCTTAAACACGGGGGTAACCTACCGAGAGAATATAATGACCTTCTCTGTAAAGGCCCCTGTGAGCTCAGGGGGAGCTTCCTTTCAGATGAGTGACAGGGAACTGCAGGGTGGAGGCCGGGTGGAGAGGCACGTGGATACGGAGGCAGGTGGTACTGTTTCCGCAGCATTTCTCCCCTCCTTTCTTCATGGAAATCGACAGACACTCCAGTTCCCTCAAGGACCCAGATCAAAGTGACTTTAAGCCAAGGAGCCAGCCCTCTACAAGCCCTCAACTGTACTTGGGCTTTGACTTGGGGTAATCTATTCTCCATGTTGCTCTGACCTTTGCCCTGCCTCAGTTGCCGTGGCCCCAGAGGAAGGCCAATTGCTGAGAGTCCACTAAAGGCAGTAAGATCCTTCTGGACAGTCTGGTGTTTGGGATCTTGGTAGTCCCCAAAGTTGAGTCCACTGGCTCTTTCTGCACAAGTGACCAAACTAAGCAACTGAAGCTCTTCAGGGTGAAACCTACTTATCCTAGAGCCTGAACCGCCAAAGCCTGAACCCTCTCTCTGTTCCCAGGCACAATGGCTCCTTCACAATGCATCCAGAGGGAAAGGATGCATCTCCCTCCAAAATCAATTCTGCTCAACTCCAAGTGAGTGCCTAAGACCCATTAAAATTAAGTTGATTTAACAAATCATTGGTGAACATTTAATGTGGAATCACCAAATGCTATGCTTTAATGTTTTTGTAAGAAAACCTCACCATTTGATATTAAAAGGAGAAAAAAGTGAAAATCTTATAGAACATCAACTTTCTGAAAAGAGAACTTTTTATAGCCCTGCTATAGAAATTGAGTAATTAAAAAGCTACATGTTGAACACAGTTCCTGCCCTGTGGTTTGAATAGGATGTCATGCAGCAGACAAATGCCATCCAGAATAACTAGAAATGCCACATAAAAAAAGTAGATTTAAAACTCTGTCAAAAGGCATAAGAGGGCTATTGATGCATATACGCCTAGAAAGGCCATAGTCTGAAGAGGGTAGAATCACAGAGAGGTGAGCTGTTGGTCTACAACTTCTTTTACCCTGGGCCATTTGCAGACTCTAGCTGTAGAGCAAAAGCCTGCTACTGGAGGCAGAGACACGAGAAGAGCTCTGGACAGCCTTGCAGGGTTTAAAAGACAAAGTTAGAAATTTAAGAGACCAAGAACCTTGGTGAGGGGCAGAAAACTGCCTCTGACATATAGTAAGTAGGTTTTCTCTTTAAGAGGTTAACAGAGCAAAAGGCTAAAATGTAAGTAGCTAGCCTCTGAAAAGAGAGTGAAGTTTTTGGCAGGATCATTATGCATAGGTTACAAGGATTATCGTTCAGGACCCACAAAGGGAGGAAGGCCATGGGGAATAAACCAGGGTCTTGGTTGAAGGCCATGGGAGTGGACTTGACTTAGTGAAAGTTAGTTAGCCTCTTCTGAGCTTGCCCAGCAAAAGAAAGCATGACTCCTCCCTGGTGAAGAACACCATCTGAAGTCTCTACAATTTTCCTTTTAATATATAATGTCCAGCATTCAATCAAAAAGTTTTGGGGACGAGGCAGCACACATGGTAATGGCTGTGATGGACGGTTTTCCTTATTTCCTTAATTCACAGAACTTGGGCTTCCTGGGAGCACGGTGACCATAGGCAGTTGGGGACGCAGTGCCAAGGCATGCGGGTCTGTGCCTGTGTGTGTAAATCTGGCTTCCAAACTGTACAGAATCTTCTTTGACATCAGCATTGTCAAGATTCACAGGGATATGCTGTAAGTCAATAATTTATCAAAGATAATTCTCATTTGGTTTTAGGCCAAGGAGTTTTGAAGAAGAGTTTTTTTTTTTAACTGGGAAAAAAGCCCAAAAAACAAAAATGAGAAAAATGGTGCTTAGTCAAATCCAAAGGGTAAAAATGAGAGATGAATAAATTCAAATACTTGATCTACGGATAAAGCCTTCTCTCACCCTCCAAATACAGGTCAGGTGGTCCTCTTCTGTGCTCCTCGAACATGATGCTTACTTTTACAGTTTTCTTGTCCACACGTGAAACTTTTTAAGTGACTTGTTTAGAGTCCTCTCAAAGTATTCAACTTAGTTTTCATGGGCAAAATAACTCTTCGGTTCTCATATCTCATGAAGTTATATATTTAGTTTCATAATATCGACAGTACAACTGATGTAAGTTTGGGAACTAGCGATCCTCCTGCCTCAGCCTTCCAAGTAGCTAGGACTAAAGGTGCATGCCACAACACTCGGCTAGTTTTTCTATTTTTAGTAGAGATGGGGGTCTCACTTTTACTCAGGCTGGTCTCAAACTTGAGCTCAAGGAATCTTCCTGCCTGGGCCTCCCAGAGTGATAGGACTATACGTATGAGCCACCATGCCCAGCCTAAAGCTACTATTTTAAGTGACATTTTGCAACAAGTTATAAGTATTGATAACTATATTTGGCAAATGTAACACTGCATCCTTAGTTTTGTAACATGCTAAAGTTGAATGATGAAGTGTATTGTGTGAGGTAGGAGTCCAACTTCATTCTTTTGCATGTGCATATCCAGATGTTCCAGCTTCAATTATTGAAAACACTATTCCATCCTCACTGAATGGTCTTGGCAGTCTTGCCCCAATGGGATTTATCTTACAATTGTAATTGGCTATATTTTTCTACAACACATATTATAATTCATGGGATCTTAGATTTGATAAAGTATGGAACATTTATCCTCTGAAATAAAAGTCTATCTAAATGTGCATTTTTTGGAAATGAAAAATCTATTTCCTTCAGTAATACTGACTCCTTGAATATTGTGATAAGGAAAAAACTGTCATAAATACACATATTTTCTTATGATAGATATATTAGTTTAAGGCTTGAAGGCTTACACACAATATTATGTCATTAAAAGTCAATGAAGACTGTCACAAAAGTAGCAATATGACTGTTATGATCATGAAGAAAATCCCTTAAGTCTACAAGCCAGGTTAAATTTGCCTGGAAGTTAGATTTATTTGACAGTGATATCATCACATAAGAAATAGTAATATAAGCACCATAAGAATTTCATTAATAAAAACATTTAGGGGATTTTCATAATCCAGATTTAAATATGTATTGTGCAGAACATAAAACAATTAATAAACTCGATTGGGATTAATTTAAAAGTGTGAGAAATCCAAAAATCAAGTCTACTTTTGTATCAACTTGCTATTGAATGTCCTGATTAACCCAGGGACAACCAGAGGGTCTGAGACAATGACTCACAAACATACCGAGATCCGTTTAATAGTTTTTGAAGATTTTTTTTCCTGTAAAATGGCTTGTATTTCCACAGGTACAATAGTGAAGAAATAAACTTTTCAATTTGACATGAAATATAAAAGAACAATTTTACAAATATATCCATAAAATTTAACTGCTCACAACACTATACATGGTAAATATGACCACCCCCTTAACTTCTAGACTATTTAATACAGAGAAACAATCTGTCATCTCAGCCAAAAAGAAATAGCTTTCCTTTCATCCAGCTTATTTTTGTTTAGAAACACATTTAGAAACAGTTAAGTAGAACTGCAAAAATATTTGTTTTTCCCTACGTTCCTCTAGAGGATTCTTCATGAGGGCAAAAACTTACCCAAAAGGATGTAAGTTTTACTAAAAAAAAAAAAAAAAATACTGAACCTTCTTTTGTTTTACTACTTCGATAATGCTTATATTCTCTTAAGATCCTGAAGTTGTCTCATTGGCCTTTGAATCATAAAGAAATGATAACAGAGCTGTGCTGTATTTCCAGCACTGAAGGAGAACATCATGCCCTTAGTCCTCAAAGACTAAACTATTGGGACACAAGATCAACAGCCAAGGGAATGGGGCTGGATTTGGCTTAAAACCAAGGTCCTGTGGTTTGTCTTTCAGAAGTTCCACTGTTATGAGGCAAGATTGCATGAAGATAACTAGTTTTCACCCAGCATTTACAATGGTGCAATCACACACCCTTTCACGCACATCCAAAGAACAGAATGGCTTCAAAAAAGAAAAGTTGAGAAAAATCATAGAACTGCAGGTAACAATTCTATATAGCCTATATTACACTTAAATTAAGTAGAAAACATGCTTTAAACTCTCAAAAGTGCCCAAATAACAATACTGAGCTCCCAAATAACAGAGGCTTGAGTTTTTCTATGAAAGCAAAAATAAAATAAAAGGCATTGAAGCTTTATGAAGGAGTTCTCCTCAACTTTCCTAATACAGTATATGTAATAACTTAAAATAATTTCCCTACTGGTACTGGAAAATAAATTCTACTACAATCATGTTTATGCCAGTTCCTGGCACATTTCTGCATACAGATTCATTAGTCTCCTTAATGAAGCCCATCATTTTTCCAATGGCTTTCTCCTTTCTTTAAACCCTAACCCTGAAATTCTATAACCAGTTATATATCACATGGCTTCCCTGAGGCACAAAGTTACCAAACTCTATAATTAACTATTGAGGAATGATAAATATGCTCTCTATTTATATTAACAAATTTTAATTCTTTTGGGCCACAGTTAGGGGAAAAAAATCCAGAAAATGTAATACTTTAACTCTGCAGTGTTAGCTGTAGCCCTTTTTGCAAAAAGCTGTACCAAATAAGGGAAATGTTGAGAGTTGCAGCATGCATGACCCGGCAGCACCGATTATTAATAAAAAATTCCAGACTAGAAAAATACTCAGAGTTGTACTCTATCCACTCTGAATTTTTTTTTTTTTTTTTTGTAGCAAACTGACATAAACAACTGAAAAAAGTAATCATTCTATGGGAATACATCACTGGGGCTTTACTTATGGAAACCTACTCACAAAAGGCATGTTAGGCCGAGATCAAGATAATCAGTCAGCAATTTCCTTATGTATACATACAGGGGAGTGGGACTCATCCTTTAATGTGATGGCAAGCAAGAATAAAAACAAAAGTGACCTTTCAGAAGTTAACTTTTCTGAACCGTACTACTCTACTTTGGTGAGCTAGAGTTCTTTATTCTCACAAATTAAATTGCTTTCAACTCTGGAAAAAAATTATAAAGGAATCTCTTTAGCCAAAACTGTAAAGGGATCCTACTACAAGTGGCTAAGATTAGCATGGTTTCCTTTCTGCAGACTTGCCACCTCTCTGCGGTTCCTTAGACAGGGTGGGAGGGGACCTCACTTGGAAGCCAGAGGAAAAGACACGGAGCTGATAGAGGGCAGTTCATTCACTGTTACCTCTTCCAAGAGCTTGGAAATCACCACACAAATTTCAACTTACACTTAAGGTATCTGAGTTCACTAAAAGTCCAAAACTTTCAGGTTGGAAGGTAACTTTATTTTTGGGCACATGTCACATGCAGGACTACTAGACTTATATATAGCTTTTGAAATGGAAAATTATGATATACATAACTTTCTGGAAAAAAATTTTTTTTTTTGGTAGGTAAAATCCAGCCTGTCTGGATGCAAGACCACTTAGCTTATACGATGCTTTTAAGGTATCAAGAATCCTTAAACCATCTTCTAGCCACATAGGAAAGAAAAGGAACAAGTGCCTCCTTTATCATTCTTTGGAGCCCAAAGAATCACAGGTCCAAAAGATATACTCTATCAGTGAAAGCTAATCATTGGAGACTCTGGCTAAATCAAAAGGCATTCAATATATTATTCTAGGCAAGAACTTTTTTTTTCCTTTCATTTTCCATCTGCAGGTAGGGTAAGCTATACAGAATAGAGGAAGCTGTCAGTAAGAGGACTGTTGTTGAATTTTCACATCATTAAAAATTATCCCAAACCAAACCAAAAACGCCTCATCCTAAACAACGATCTCCACTGAAACATAAAGCTATTTTAAAACTGAGAGGCTGAACTTTTAAAATACCAAGTCAAATTAAGCAGCAACAATCATATCACTTTAAGGAAAGGGGTATTCAAATAGGTTAGAATGACTGCAAATAGGCAAAATATCTGCCAGGAGGCAAAACATGGAACAACCAATTCAAGTATGGAGTATATAGTATATTAGATTCATATAAATTATATATATTTACAAAGGTTAAAAAAAGGTCATCCAAATTTGCAATAGTCAATTTAAGAGACTGTTAGTTTAAATAAATACTTGCTCCATGTGGCAGGGATTTATCTTATCTCAGCCAGCTGCTACCAGTCTCATGTCCTGAAGGGTCTGCACATTCTGGGAGTGGTGATGCTACTGGTACCGAGCACAGAGAATGAGCATCCGAGAATTATTAATCATATGAAATGAAACTAACAGACAGGGGTGGTGGAGCTCATATGAAATTCTGATTTAATTATTCCTCAGTAAACACTCATTTGCTCACTCAAAATCAAGAATTTCAAATGATCTCTGCAGATGTACCACTTGGTGTTGTGTATATCTAATGATCACATTTAAATTTAGTTTGATTTGCAAACATTTTCAAAACTTACAGGGCTCTGGAAGCTGCAAGGGAAGGGGACAGATGGTGGTGAGGGAGTGAACAAAAATGACTGTATCATTGTGATCTGTTGTTTTTAGGCTCACAGAATTTGGCTTTCTTAAGGAAGAAAAAAAGCCTATAAACCTTACAAAACCCCAACAAGTGGTTTTAAAAAGTAAAAGCTTATTTTTAATCATCTGTAAATCTTAAAACAATTCAGTAAGCAAATAAACTTGGTAGTCTAGTACCCAGGCCATGTCTACTGCTGTCATGATCACCCTCAATTAAATTTTAAGAGCTGACACATTTCCATCAACCAAACAGTCCTGGCCATGCAAGATGAGTATCAGTGACAAATTGTATTAGGCAGAAATAACAAAAGGCAGACTAAAAAGTTATGGAAAATTCTTTGTTTGAAATGCCACGTATTTGATGAATGAGTGTATAAAGTAAATTCCACTGAAGTTAAAAAAAAACAAACCCACAATATATGAATATTCTCTCCTCCTAAAAGAAAGAAAGAAAAAAATCAGAAAAAAAGCCCCAGATTTCAAAACACCCACCTGCGCCTAAGGTCTCCTATGCACCAATCACACTGTATCGGGCAGCCCCTTTGGTATCTGGTCAGAGTCTAGCTATCGTCAAGTATTTCCAGACACTGCGTGTCTTTCAGGTAACGCCTGCATCACACAGCACTGAAGGTTGCACGTTAAGTGCCAACAACTTTTGAATAAATTTCTTCTACGTCTGTAAAACATGACTTAAAGTCTTATCCAAGTTTAAAAAGGAAAAAACTTGGTTAAAAGCCCAAGGTTAAAAATAAAAGCATGGCATTTAAAATCCAATTATTACAAGGTATTGCGGTTTCATCAAGCAGACCTCAATGACGATGCCGCTGTTCTGAGCATGCAACACACCACTGCTATCTCGTACACTCCTGCCATGTCTCATCACTGTGTCCCCTCTTTTGTCCCAGCCCTAGCCCCCCCTCCTTAACAAACAGCATTACAAAAAGGTAAAATCTAGAGTTAGTGGCAAAATCTTCACAGTAACTTGTTAATAAAGTCGCAGATGGCTGTCAAGGGCATCAGTCGACTGGACCTTGGAAAATTAATTTGATGCAGTTTTGCTCCCCGACTAGCTGCGTGGCACAGAAGGGGCAGGCCGCATGAAACGCGTGAGTTCCGTGAGGCAACGGGATCTGAGACCAGTACTTTGCAGACTTCTCTGAGCACACGTGTCCACAGGGGGTGAAAGCATGAGTTGGTGGCCCTGCATCTACGTAAAATCCCGCCTCGCAGCCGAGCCAGAGGGGCACGTAGGGGCCCACAGTCCTGCACATGGGACACTCCCTCTCATTGGCCTCTGTGTCGCTGCGGTGGCCCCAGTTGTGGTACCCGTGCACGTGGCCACAACTGAGATAAGCCCAGGGCTGCTTCTCCTCCACCACCTCTTTCCTATTGATGCTGGGGAAGGCCAGGGTGTTGAGCCCCACGGGACACTGCGGCCGGGCGGCGTTGATCTCCTGCCGGAGGGCCTCAATGTGTTTCTGAGTCGGAGTATGGAAAAGGCCGTCTGCTGTTCTCCAGAGAAGAGTGGCTCCGCACAGGTCGATGAGGGAGCCGTCCTGCAGGACGTTGGTCTCACTTTCCACCTGTAAGTTTGAGAGACACGCCTTTTTAAAGCAAAATCCAGAGAATCTCTGGAGCAAACCACTGCAACACTCTTTCCTCTCAAAATAGCCAAAGACTCATCTTTGAAGACAACACAGGAAGGCAATTTGTCCCACCAAAAACAGGATGAGGGGAGTAACCCAGCCTCCCTGAGCCTTGGTTTCCTCATTTGAACACTGAATATAATACACACACACCACATGTACAAAGCCCTGAGCACGACATATCCAGCTTTACATGTTCGACTAATGTAGGAGCTCTTTTAATGACCTTCACACATCATCTTGGATATTTATTTTTAACTCCTTAAATTGGTAACACAATTACTCACTGATCTCATGAGGATGGGAGAGATGTCCAAACAGTCCATCTAGTGAAGACTCATACTCATTTCGACCAGAGCCAGTCTAGAAGGCCCTTGGGGGCCAGTAATCATTACAGCAGTGATCCAAAACACTCCTGGTAACCCTTTGCTTCCTCCACGCCTCAAATCTATCTTTCATTCTTCATTCCTGAGGTTTGAAGCTGAACAGTTCGATACAAGCGTTCCTTTTTAGAAGGATGTCTGTGCTACATACCAAGTGCTTAAAAAGACTGATTAACAGCTGACTAGAAGCAGAGGTAGGCACGGTCAGCGAGAATCTGCTCTCCGCTGCCACGTGCTGGATGCGTGCTGAGCCTCAGGGGTAACAGAGACCAAGGAAACCTCTTCCCCGCCCTGCTGAGACCTGCCCTTCTGCAGAGGGAGGCAGACATGCCTAGAGGCGGGAGTGAGGGAAGATCAGCGAGTGCTGTGCGTGGCTACGGCACCTCGGTGGCTGGGAGCGTGGACTCTGGGTTTGAACCCTGGCTCTGTCACTTACTAGCCATGTGACCTTGGGTAGGTCGCTTAAGCTCCCTGTGCCTGTTTCTCCTTAGTAAAACTGAGATAAGGTGGTTATGTTAGATAAGTTAATATCAAGTTCTTAGAATAGTATCTGGCACACAGTAAACACTAGGAAAATATATGCTACTATCACTTTGAGGAGAATAGTCAGAAAGGATTTCTAAAAGGGTTTTCCTTGAACAGAGACTTGAAAACGATGCCAGGAGTCAGCAGGCAGGGTGGAAGGGGGACACACCAAGGGAGGAGAGGCACACAGCAAGCGCACCGAGGGAACAGCAAGGAGTTCAATGAGGCTGCACTGGCAGCTGAGCAAGGCTGGGTGGAGCTCAGGGTGCCGGTGGGCAGGACAGAGACCCATGCTGGAGGGCGAGGCTGGTTTTAGGCAGCCATAAAAGAACTGATTTGCCTTTCAAAAAGGTCACTTGTGGAAGTCTGGAGAATGGATTGGAGGGGTGTAAGACCAGTGGTAGAGGAGACAACTGGGTTTTCTCTCTAGGAGAGGGTAGGTGCACCTTAACACAGAGGGCATAAATGGCAATGGGCACGAGGTGCAGGGACTGGATGTTGAGGAAATGGACTGACTGGGTGGCACTTAGCTCCTGATTTGAGGAAGAGAGACTTTTATATATCTGGTTGTCTAGGAAGAGCAGAGCTTTCCACAGCCAGGGAAATAAAGAAGTGGCAGATTATGGGGAAAGGTAGGTCAGTTCAGTTTCGGGTGTGCTGAACCTGAAGGTTGTGCAGAGCATGAGGAGTGGCCGTGCACATCAGGCACGTGTGGACGCAGCGTGGGAGACGGGGCAGGCGGGGAGATACATCTAGGAGTATCAGCGTCGAGGGGAAGCCATGGGAATGGATGAGCTGCCCAGGCAGTGTCCTTGTGGGGCAGAGAGGACTGAGCACACAGCCAGGGGGGCACTCCATTGAGGTTGGAGTGGAGAAAAAGAACTGTGTGAAGCAAAGAGTGAGGAATGGAAAGAACCAGAAATGTCAATATTTGGTTCAAAGACCTCATTGGTTTTCCACGGCCCTCAAGATAAAGCCCAAACTTCTTAACATGTTTGAAAGGTCATTCCCAATGCACCCACTCAACTTCTCTGGCTGTAACTCTTCTGAGAACCAGGACTGCCCCACGCTGAGCCGGAGGGAGTGGAGTCCACGAACTCACGGACCTGGATTTCGCATAGCAGGTGCAAAGGCAGCCTCTGCCTAGAATATTCCAACCCAACCCCCACACTCTAGCTCAAGTCCTAAGCTAGGGAACTCTTAGTCATTGTTCAGGTCTCACTGGGATGTCACTGTGCCCTGGAAGTTTTCCCTGAATGGAGAAATCAGCCCCTTCCTAATAAGAAAGTACCAAATATTAGCAGGTAGAAAAAGTTAAAGTCCCGATAAAATGATACATCTTAATACTCTTCAGGACAAACATTATGACCCCATCCAAACAGCCTTCTGTAAGTTTGCTGAAGCCCCCTCCCCACTCCATCATCACACTGAGTACCCATGGTTCCCCTGGGAGTACTCCAGCTCCCCTCCATGGCTGACCACAGGCTATCCTCAGAAGAGGTCTCAGCTCAGGATGTAGCCCTGTCAAAGAACAATCTCGAAGTGGTAAGAAACTGAGATTTGGTGGTGGCCCTGCCTCTGGCCGTTGGACAACTCCCTCTCTCCTCCCTGCAGGGTACTTCTTGGTAAACAATAAAGTCTCATCATAAATGAGGGGTCTATGGTCTTTATCTTCCACGTTCTCTTGACTCCCACATCTAGGGCAGGTGTCTCTCTGAGGGTCTCCAGTACCTTCCAGTACTGTCTCCACAACTGTGCTCATCACACAATATCTGTTGATCTAATGATTTGCTGCCTAATCTGCGACCTTCTCCAGACTACACACTTGAGGGCAGAGCCCTGGATTTGGTTGGTGTTCACTGCCAGATCCCAGCTCCTGGCCTCTGCTTTGTAGTAACAACTAACCAATTTTGGAGCATTACTGTGTACAACACTGATCTACTCCTTTTCAGGTACTGGACTTAGTTCCCATAACAATCCTATAAGATGTGTAGCAATACTATTCTAATTTAATGGATTTGGAAGCCAAGCATAGAGAGGTAAGTCACTGATTTAAGACCACAGAGCTACTAAGTTGTGAAATCAGAACTTAAACCTGGTGGCCTGATTTCGAAACCATTAACATAAAATGGCTGCTCAAAAATTAGCCGTTTCCCCTCTTAACTTTTATTTCTTGTGTGCTATCTCTACCTGTGAACAAAACATGTAGTTTTTCTCTAGAATACCGTATGCAGGAGGTCACATGGTGAAGATATACTCTTAGCCACTGTGTAGAAGCATGGATTTGGATTTTATTTTTTAAATTCTACCAAAAAAGAAAAGCTAAGTGCAGGCACAGAGACTGAGTCTGTTGTGGAAGAGACAGTTAAAACACAATGGTACCTACATATCCGCCAAGCACAATGTAGAGACATCAAACTCCCGTCTACCACTTATTAGTAAGTGACTAACATTTTAAAACTCAGGTTTCCTCATCTGTAAATGGGAACAACAACAACACTGACCTCATAGGTTGTTTTAAGCAACACCTGAGAGAGAATTAATGTAAAGCACTTTGTAGAGCCTGCACATAGTAACTCTATTGCTATTTTTATGTTTCCTAAAATTAGGTAAGCAAATCTATTTAACCAAATTTACTTAATTTTATACAAAGCCAGTATAGTTTAATAAAATACCTCAAATATAATTTAATAAAATACTCAAGGGACTCCTAGACTTCTAGAGTATTATAAATGTTACCATATGTTGTCATTAACTAGCTAAATGAGTAGGACACAATTCAAAGTCTATTCACCTATTTATTTATTCAGGGGATTAAGTGCCTGAAAAGATATTTCCCCCACATTTAATGAATTTCGTTGATTAAACAAAGTACTAAGGTTCCATCATTTGCTGTAACAATGAAAAAGCATGGCAATTTGTTAAAAACACATTAGTGTATTAATTCATATTAAATGCTGAGTATGATATTAATACATAATTTTCTACCAGTACTACCTCCACACTGTGAGAAGCAGGGGCATCTACAGCTGTTATAACAAACCAATATTTTGGGACTTTCAGTAGCTCACTTTATGTCCTATATTTCTGTATTGGACCGCAAATGACAAGTACTGCCAGAGACTGTCCCCAGAATCTAATCTCCAGAGAGTCATAATATATATCAAATGCTACTAGCAACATATATGGGACCAAAGAGCCACGAATTGAAACCGAAGCTCAAAGAATCAGCAGGCTTTCCTCGCAGGCCGCGACAAGCCGTTCCCCAGAGGTTTCACAGTGCAGGAGGATATATCTGTTTAGTCTCCCACAAGCCCAAGGTCAGACTGATGGGAACCTTTCTTACTGGCCAGGTTAACAGCATGCTATCGAACAGCACAGCACAATTTCACAAAGATCTAAGTGTAACTCACAGGGACTAACTTCAAAATTAGTTTCTGTATTTAACACAACCCATTAATACAAGCCATTTTTGGAGTTCTTTCTTTTCAGTAGCATTGTAAAATTCTCTGGCACACACAGCTGTCTGAGCTGGGTCACTACACAAACAATAACCAGTGTGGACAAGAAACTCACCCTGTGATAAGCCCTCTGGGACAAACAAGCCTGCCACGGATTCCTGTGTGGGCTTCACACCTGGGGAGGCAGATGCTCTGGTGTAACCATTTCAGGTGAGAGCCGTGTGGCTCCCCACAAGATGGTACAGAGTAGTAATCAGGCATCTGGACTCTCCATCAGGGAGACCTGAGTTTGAATCCCATCTGCTGCCACCTTCTAACTCTGTGACGCCGGGCAGTATTTGACTTCTCTCTGCCACATTGTCCTCATCCATGAAATGGGGATGATTCCCCTTCCCTTAAAAGGCTGCTGTGCAGATTAGGTGAGCTGATGTCTGAAATGTTGACGCATGCCTGCGCCCAGCAGCCAGTCACTGACTCTGTACTCTTGCTATTACGATGAATAATCAGTTCACCAATCCAGGTCAGTTTTGTGTAAAACCATCTGATGGTCAGAAACAGTTATTTAGAAAAACTGCTTTCACAGTTCCTTCCCTATTTACAATTTTTTGAAAATGTTTAACCAAAATTTATTGAGTTTGCTTGGCCTTTCTTAGAAAGTGCTTTTCATATTTTATTCAGCCATGATGCTCCAAAAGACTTGGCTTTACTGTACAGTGCAGAAGCTGTGCCTGTAGCCAAATACCAGTATAACAGAGATAGAAAAGTAATACTGCCCTGAACAAAACCATCCAGCAGAGGACAGCAAACCAGGTTAGTGAAACAGCCCCCTATCTTCTTTTTCCAGCTTAGAAATATTTGGTGACCCTCTTTCTCTCTGGAAAGTGCTAGGGTGCATGCTCTATTCCCTATACATTTTTCTACAGGAGTTTTGAAGAACTCCCTTTTCTAGCTTCTAGAAAAAAGACATTTGTTCTCTTGTTCTAGCTTCTACCCCATAATCAAAAGCACGAGAATGGACAGTTTACTAAGAATCTTTCTTTCAGTGGCTGTGCCACGTGGCTGTGGCAAAATCAGAAACCCAAAGTTTCCCATTTAAGGTATTATAATTATTCTTCACAGAAGAAAGGGTTAAAAAACCAACTGCTTTAGTACATGATGCTAAATGGTGATATTTACAGGAAGATATTAATAAGGCAGGTCAATGCAGAATATGAATCACTGTAAGTAAAAGTTTTAACTATCTTTTTGGTGGACAATATAGAGAATTCTGTGTTAATTTATGACTATGAGCTCAAGGGAAAAAAAGCTAACTTAATTATTTCTTAGGATTCCAGAAAGTCTAGTAAAAAATTCTTTAATTCATAATTTTCGCCAATTGGTCTTAGCTCAGGATTTTTCCAAACAAGTTTTTTTTTTTTTTTTTGAGAGAGAGTCTCGCTTTGTTGCCTAGGCTAGAGTGAGTGCCGTGGCGTCAGCCTAGCTCACAGCAACCTCAAACTCCTGGGCTCAAGCGATCCTTCTGTCTCAGCCTCCCAAGTAGCTGGGACTACAGGCATGAGCCACCATGCCCGGCTAATTTTTTCTATATATATTAGTTGGCCAATTAGTTTCTTTCTATTTATAGTAGAGACGGGGTCTCGCTCCTTGCTCAGGCTGGTTTCGAACTCCTGACCTCGAGCAATCCACCCACCTCGGCCTCCCAGAGAGCTAGGATTACAGGCATGAGCCACCGCGCCCGGCCCAAACCAGTAAAGTTTTTATAATAAAAATGAGTTTATTCTCCTTATAGTGAATTTAAGTAGAATTTTGTGGGGAGGTATACAATAAAAGATTATGCTCTTAAGGTGGTAAGTAACAGAAGATAATTTACGTACACTATGGGACAAACTTAAAGGAAGTAAGGCCAAGTCCCTCTAACTCTCGGGTGCTTGTAGAATTCCCGTTCTCCTTGGTTATGGCACACGGCGCTTGAACCCGCACAAAGGTTATGAACTGTGGTGAGGGATGACAGTCCTTGACTTAGGTTTTTGTGGTCTGGTACATTTTCCAGAGTGAAGCCCACTCACCAGCTTTCCCCTCTGCTGGGCCGACCTGGTTTCCCGCAAGGTGTACACATCCCCACAGACAGAGATCTCGCGCCAGACCCCGGGCTGGGACTCCTCGGTGAAGCCCCCCCTTGGGTGCATCACCAGGACACCATTTGTCGTGAGCCCATCCATGTGGCCGTCGGGGTTTTTCCATTTTGCTGCCTTTTCCTGGAGAACACAACATGGAACAGAGAACGACTGCTAAGATGGCCTTCAAGCTGAAGAGATTCTGGAATTTCTTTAAAATATTATAGGGGCAGAAGGGAGGAAGGTGACAATTTTCATCTTCTATCTAAAGCTAATAGTCACAAGGATATAATATGCAATTATTCTGACAATATAAAAGAAGTGCTAAAACAGATGAATGATTTATCACTGGATACACATTATATTCATCTCGAGAGCTTTAAAAAACTGATGCCTGCGTTTCTCCCTCAGGCGTTCTTTTTACCCTCCCAGCACCCCTGTGGGGCTCCAAGAATCTAGTATGTTCTCTTTCTTCAGTTGTACTTGTATGGTGTTCTTATCCTACTGTCTAAAAATGCTTCGCATGTACTTGTTATTGGGAAACAGAAGAAAGAACAGTCATTTAAAAAAATGACTTTATGTTAAAGGTACAAAACTCAAAAAAGGTTAAGCCAACAAGTTGTGGCCATTATGTTTTCACACCGACTACACCCGCAAAGGTGGACAGCATGGGCAGCACGACATAACGGCAGGACAGACACTCCTGGTGCCTGCACCACAGTCCCCCCACACCTTGGTGACGAGGCCCAGACTGTGCACCTGACTGGGGGTAGACGCTGCTTAGGGAGAACCATCACCCCTGCCCCTTCCTGAGGACTGATTCAGGGGTGGACACGTGACTGGGTTCTGGCCAATGAGACAGGGGTGACGTCTCTCCAAGGATTCAGGCAAAGGTTTCTTTGCTTTCAGAAGAGATAAGGAAGAAACAGTGCCTCTGCCACCTCTTCTTTGGCTAGAAGTTGCCAAACATTAGGGGACGTCAGAAGTGCAGCGGCCAGCTTTGGGCCGTGGCAAGACCTCCCCTGAGGAAGCTCGTGTGCTATGAGTGGCAGAGGGCAAGACAGAAGAACCCGGGGCCCTGGATGTCTCAGAGCTCCTGAGAGATCCAACCCTGGAGCTGGCCTTCCTTGGCGCTTCTTACTATGTGGGACAATATTTTTTTTTATTTATTGTTTGCTTTAGACCATTTTGAGTGTTTTCTTTTTTCTTGTAAAAATATCCCAGTTCAAAAGAGAATTATATTAAAACTGGATATTCACTAAAACTTTTGGGTTCATTTACAAGGAAACCGTACAAAGGCAGGGGGTTTTAATGTTTTGTTCTCTGTGATACTATACTGATAACACCCAGTAGAGGACACAGCGAACACTCAATATAACATTTTCCCATGAATAAATAACTCACTAACATTTTCCTTTAAGTCCTTCTGATCTAGAACTGGCCATTTTCCCTCTGAAACAAACCTCTTAACTACCATAAATACATTATGCACAATGTTAATACACACACTTTAAACAAAGTAATTACTGTACATATTATAACAAATAAGTAATGCTTTAATAATTTTCAGAATTTTAATGACAGCTTTTCAAACTAGCTACTTGAAAACCGAAATCTCAAAATCTAACTGGAGACAACATGTAAAGTAAATTTCTTTGCCCCCATTTTCTATGTTATAACAATGGATGTTTTTCTTGGAACAATGAACTTATTAATAGCACTTACTCCAAGAAATATGTTTTTGGAAGAGTCAAATCCGGCTGCGAATATCCGTGCTGTATAAGGCTCATTCCTGTCACACACGATCCTGCAGGCAAACCTGGATATGGTGCTTTGTGTGATCTGGGCTTCATCGTTGTTCTGGCTTCCAGAAATCGTGTCCGTCACGACGAAGTCGATAGGGCTTTCCGTTGATCTGCCCACCTGCATAGACCAAATGCAGCACTCATGATCCACTTGGAAAATGCCAGCTTCCCGCAAATGGGTGCTTGGTATCGCTTTTAACATTCGCTATCTCTGCTTTGAGGGTCAGAATTTAATGATAAACTTTCGGTTCTGTTCCTTTTTCTATTTAACTAACAGATGGTTGGTATGACAACCAACCATCAGATTTAAAAAATATTTACTTTATTTTATTGTAGTAAGAATACAATATGAGATCTACCATCTTAAATATGTGAGCACACATGCAGTAACTGTTGACTGTAGGCGCAATGCTGTATAGATCTCTAAAAATTATTCATTTTGTTTAAGTGAAACTTTATGCCCATTGATTAGTCCATCATATTTTAAGTATTAAGAGAAAGCTCAATTAAGAGGAAAAGATTAGATCTGCTGCCATACCTAGTTTTTATCTCTTGGATCCAGGAAGAAATACTTTCACAGCAAACTATTCTTTTTTTTTCTATTTCCAGGTAGAAAAAAGCGCAAGATTTTAAATAAATAAAGGAATTCTTGCCTCCCACTCTCTTGCCCAGCTCCAGAGAATGCTTTTCCCTAAGTAAATGCAACAGTGACTCACAGCACTGAACAGCCCTATCCAGATAGAGAGATAAAACAGCTATTATCAGTACACAGTGTATATGAGAATGACACAAAATTGGCCCAAAGTTTGGGATGTAGTCAAACAAAAGATTTTAAAAGCTTGTCTTGGCAATTTCAGGTTTGGATTTTTAAAAAACTCTCTTGGGGAAGTCTAAAAAGTTGCCAATAATATATTGGCTTACTTTCCCTTGTAAGATTTAAACACTGACAGAAAGAATACATTTCATTAGGAAGGTCTTAGAGTTCCAACATAACTTTTCCTATTCAATAAATTCGATATTGCTCTCTCTTGTGAATTAGGAAAAGTATTAGTTTACAAACAAGGAAATCCTCAAGATGAAATATTAAAAATTTTATGTAATGCTATTCTATGAAATCTCTAACTGGAAAACAATGATATATGTTTTATGTGCCCAAGAGACTTCAGTTAAAATCATTTATATGTAAATGAATACTTTCTTGCTAAATATGATATTAATGTTCTCTCCTACCAATAGTAACTTTGATTCCAAAGCTTCAAATGAGAGGAATGAAGAGAGCCTTGAGATGTATACATATAAGGCTCCCAAAAGTCAATTTCCAAGACATTTTTATTCTGATCTCAAAATTCTACAGGCAATGTAATACTTTTTTTATCCAAGTGAATAAAGTGAACAAAAAAATCTTGTATCACTTAGCTCTGCTTGCTTCCTGGAAATATTTTTAAATTTCTTTTATAAATCTCACATATACATTCTCGTGCACAGACTATCTCTATAAAACCAACAGAAAACAGACATATATTTCTCCTTGTTTTTTGTAACCATTAATTTCTTGTCCTAATGAAATGTGCCTGGAATAAACTAAACCATTAGTTTCACTGAAAATCATCAACTTAAACAGATGCATACTGCTTTAATGCATGCATTTCAGGTTTAGAAAACATATAGCTTGTTTAAAAATGCAACATAAAATCTACATTAGAGTATTATAAAATCATATCATATAATTCATCTTTCTAAAGTTGCAAAATCTTCCCTCTGCTGGATTTATTTAAAAACTGGGTGTGTAATTCAGAAGCTCTATTGATTCAGACTGCTCTAATCTTTTTACAAAGCTTTTTTTTTTTAATTAGAAAAGTAACAAATACTTACTGCAGAATATTTTACAAATACAGAAAAGTATAAGGAAAAAAATAAAGCCTACTCCATACTTGGGAACAAGCCCATTCTGAACCTGCATCCAATGAAGTTTAGGAGTGAAATGTAAAAAGTTCTAAAATTCCCTGGACATCTCACAAAATCTGGGGCCTTCACAATGACACAGTCTCTGTCCGCATTTCTGTCAACCTCCAAAGCAGAAGGAAAAGACTTTTCATACTCTTATAAGCTCAAAGCTAAAACCGTCATCTTCTAAAATGTCCCACAACTGTTTCTTCTTGCTTACAGAAATTACTCTCTTCTAGAAGAACCACATTCTGGCTTCAACCAAATGTATCAAATTAATGTCTTGATGAATTAACTGAAATTGACTATAAAACAAGAAATTTTCTTCTAAGTGGAACACAACGCTAGGATCCATGATTTTAAGTCATGACACTTATCTGATTGGTCATATAAGATTTGTTTATCAGTTCACTTCCATTTAAATCTACAGAGCGCCAGTAAAATTTTATACTTTGGGACATGAGCTTCATGTTGCTTTTGCCAGGAAAAAAAATCTAAGTTATGTTCCTACTGAAAAATCACTCAATGTGGAAAACTTGCAGCCTGCAGGGTTTTTTTGACTATTGGATCAACTCTACACTATTTGAAAGGCAGTCATGTAGACAAGCCAAGATGTTTCTGAATTTCATCTGATATTCATATAGTAAATCAGCAAAGATGCTTCTGAATTTCATCTGATATTCATAGAGTGCTGATATAGTGGCTATTCATATAGTGGCTATAGTGAGAATTTTACTCCATTCAGTACTTAAAATTTTACATATGTAAGAAAAGTCTGGGTTTGCCTGGTTATCAGTTGAAGCCAGGACACATAAGATGATACTGAAGCACCAGGAGGGGCCTTCCTCATTTTCCCCCGCAATCTCTCTCTCCCCATCTCCCTGCATCTGCACCTTTACTTTCTGACTTCCCTCCTATAGTAAGAATGAAATATTGTTGCTCCTATTCAAGAGTAATCTCTCCACTAATGCCTGGTGTCCCAATATTCTCCTTTCTCAAGTAATTTGCTCCTAAAATTATCCCTTTTCTCTCCTGAATCAATTTCTCCCTCTCCACTGGATCATGCCGTCAGCTCTCAAACACATTCTAGAGCTTATCGAACTCTAAGAACTATTTTTTGTTATCATTTTCTTTTATTTTTAAAATTTCAACCTGTTACTGATACCTTTAAAAAATACAATAAAAATAATTACTAGAAAAATGATCATCTGGCGTGGATGTTTCAGCAACACCAAGTGCCTATAAAAGTTACCAAATGCCTCCTCTCAATTTCGGTACTCATCTCATTCTGCATGTTAACAAATACTTCGCTGCTTGGCAGAGCACGATTTGAGTGGCCCTGCTCTGAAATAGTCTACCTTCTTTAAAAATGCTCTCCTTTGTCTGCAAGCAACCCGCAAGCTCTAGCCCCATTTCTCTGATTCACTTAACAGCAGGACTTCTTGGAAAACCTGTCACTAGTTACTTCCTCCCTTTCCTTACCCATCTCTTTAACTTCCCTTCTCAACCCACTTCAATTGGGCTTCCTTCTCCACAACTCTATTGAAACCACTCATGATAAGGTTCCAACAATCAATATATTGCTAAATCCAGGGCTTTAATGAGCACAGTACATCAGTATCTGGTATTCAAATAATGAAACACTTCTAGGCTAGTTGGTAAATAGCTCCCTTCCCTACTCTTTCTGTTCTCTTCCTAGACAACATAATCAAATTAACAAAATCTTATTCTGATTATATTAACTCAGACTTCTATCACACTTAATTGATCCCTTAAATTCAGATCCAACAAGGCCTTTTTTAGTCCATTCTAATGTTCTACTTTTAAATACTCAACCTAGAAGTCATTTTAATGGGAATGGGTAAAATGAACAGCCCTTCATATTGGGGTCCACACCTGCAAAATGGGAATGTTGTAGTGCTCTCTGCTCAGTGGGAGTCCCTGAGACCCTGTCAAGGGGGCCAGGTCCTTGAAGCAGAAATTGCTTTCATAGTAATATGAAGATTCCAATTGCTTTTTCCACCGAGTTGATCTTTGCATGAATGGTACTAAGGCAATGGTGGGTAAAACTGCTGGTGCTTTAGCATGAATCAAAGCAGTAGCTCCAAACTGTGCTCAGTCATTGTATTCTTCACTGCTATGAACTTGCAGTTTAAAAATTACTAATTTCATTAATTCTTCAGTGTTTTGATATTCTTCGTGACAAAATAGAGAATATGCATAAAGCACTTAGAAGTTAATAATAGGAAGCTGAAACAGTTCAATTAAATCTTCAATTCATTTTGCAGAGATGAGAAAAAAGAAAGTGAACAATAAGAGTAAAATGTGATTGTACAACAGTGAAGAGTACACTATGTCACAACATGTCACTAAAGAATACTACATGAAACTTTGAAAAATGACTAAGAAACAAGATGTTCCTGAAAGGAATTCAATGTCTCACACTTTACTAGTGCTTGACGTACCTATTACATATGTGTCATCATAGTAAGTTGTTGATTTTAAGTGGTAAAAAGGTATCACTGACAGTTGTGAAATATTCTTGATTCACTTTTTTAGTATTAAGAATCTTCTCTATGCAAAAAATCTTATAAATCTTTATTACTGGTAAAAAAAAATCTTAGCAATCTTTCCTGCTATAAAGTAGTGAAAAAAAATCTTATAAATTGAAAATGCATAATTTTGTTAAGTGTTAAAAATCAACATGAGGTTCCATAAAAATACCAAGGTAAGTATATGCATTACTTATTTAGGAAAAGATTTTGTTTGGTAGAATAAGAAGAAAAGACATTTAGAAGATTACATAATGGAATGGCATGGAGAGTAAACCACTGTTAAGATTTTGCCCATTACAATATATACTACTCAGCTGATGGGTACACCAAAAGCCTAGACTCTACCACTATGCAATATATACATGTAATAGAATTCATCTTGTACCCCTTAAATCTATTAAACTAAAAAAATCTTGAAAAAAGACTGCAATGTCCAAGTTGCTAGGCTCTCACCCTTGCAAAAAAAAAAAAAAAATTTGCCCAAATATGGTAAATCTTACTCTTGAGTTCAAATTGGTGCTTAAATAACTGTTTTTATATCTATGACTATGACTATGTCTGGCTTTCATCTATCTGTTTAGGATTGTTAATTTTTTAAAAATAGCTAATATACTCACATAGTTCCAAAATCAAAAAGTATAAAACATCTCCCTGTAATGTGACCTGCCCAATCTCCTTCCCTACAAAAGCAACTGCTTCATTAATGCCTTGTTTATCCTTTTGGAGATTTCTAATGCATATAAGCATTATTTAAACCATTTAACAATACTAATTTAACATTTAATAATTAATGTAATATTCAAATATTTAATATTAATTATTAATATTTAACATTAACCTTAACTGAATATAATACTATCACTATTACTCAATTTATTTAATAAATTTATTGTTTATAAAAATAATAATATAATAAATAAAATAATAATATAACAATAAAATATTTATTTATTGTTAAATAAATAATTTATTTAATTATAAATAAACTGGCAGACTCACTGAATAGCTGTACCCAACTTTACTGAACTGCTCCCTTTCTGAAGGGCATTTAGGTTGCTTCCAATCTTTTCCTATTAAGTAATGCTTTAAGTAATAACTTTGTACAAACAACATTTTACATGTATATAAGGATATCTCTGGGGTTAGTTTCTAGGAAGAGCTGAGTCAAACCATGCACACATTTTGTATTTTTCAGAGGTATTTCTAAATCACTACCCTGCAAAGATTATACCAATTTATAGGATGTAGGAGAGTCTCTGTTTTACTCACAACTTCAATAAAACCTTTTGGATTTCTGCCAGTCTGGTAAGTGAAAAGTAGTATCTCTATGTAATTTTAATTCATATTTCTCTTTTCATAAGTGAGGTTGAGCATATTTTCTTTTGTTTAAGAGCTATGTATTTTCCTTTTCTGATGAACTTTCAAATCTTATCCCCATTCATCTATTTAATTGTATGTCTTTTTCTTAGTGATTGCCATGAGTACCTTGTTATATTTGGAATATTAACAGTTTGTGATAAGAATTGCCAATATTTTCCCCATTTGCCATTTGTCTTTTATTTTTACCTTATTATATTTTGGCCACACAAAAATTTACCTTTCTAAAAAAACAAAAGGTATCAATCATTTCTTATATGGTTTGTGGGTTTTGTCTCATAGTTAGAAAGTTCTTCCTTACTTTAAGTTACAGGATAATCCCCCCATTTTCTTCTAATACTTTTACTTAATTAAAAAAAAAATCTTTACATCTTTAACCTAGTTGAAATTTTATGGTATGGGATGCTGATATAACTTTTCTTTTCCAGATAGCTACTTTATATTATTCTCACTATTAATTTTTAATTTGATGAACACAAAGAAAAATAAATATTTCCCCCAAATTTTGAGAGAAAGTTTAGAGGAAGAAGAAAAGTTTGCTTCAGGCTGGTTCTTCTTATCAGTCTGAGGTGAAGTTCACAACTAATATTGATATTTTTTAAAAATATAACATTTTCCTTCTTTCTTGATCAAAAGTACTGATGCTGATGGTCCAGGTTAGGCATGCAGATCATGATGTTATAGAAGACAGAGTGAAAGAGCCAGGACATTTCTTTTTAGTTCCACCTCTCTTTCATATATGTTGTGTGTGCATATAAAAAATAGAGTTTGGAATGGACATATGCCTTTTTTCACTTATTTTATTGTATATCCCATTTAATAATCATGAAATGGCTACATGGTGTTTTGGACTTAAATGTACCATACCACAACCATTCTTATTTACTGCTGGAAGTCTAGATTTATTTCTAGTTTTTTATTAGTGTATACAACACTGTAATGAACATCTTTCTGGTTAAATCTTTCTTCATATTCCTTAAATGTTAAAGGCAAAAATTATTAAAGGTAGAATTACTGGGTCAGTGGGTCTGACTGTTTACATTGTTGGTGACACCACAATGCTGCCCTATAGAAATGCTGCACCAATTCCCAGTCCCACCAGGAGTACTAATTCCATACAATGTTTTACAGTGCTATATTATTAATAGGTAATAATGAGTATTTTATTATTAATTTATTTGGTATTTAAAAAATCATCTTTATATATTTACTGGCCTTCTATATTCCTTTGAGAATTACATATTTTGTTCTTTGTTGGTTTTTTAAATATGGGAAAAGTGATTAATATATTACAGGTATCAATCCTTTGTCTACTTAATTTGTTGCCTAAATTGTATCTATTAATTTTTTTGACATTTAGAAAGAGGCTAAGATATGTAAAGTAAAATCTATTTCTTCATTTATTATTTATTTTTTCCCACTTGAAGAATATGAATTCACATAAATTTTGTTCTAGGACTTTTTTGTTCCTTCATTTTTACATTTAAATGTTTAATCTCTATAATTTATTTTGGCACAGAGCATGACATTAGTATCTATAATATTTTTTGGCATTTGTTTCAATATCATTTATGTAATAATATAACTTTCTATATGAAAATGCAAAAGTATCTCATTGTTTCCCACTTGTTTCCCATGTTTTCTTTTTTTGTTATTAGTCTAAATTTTAATTTTCTGTTGTTTTAAGTACCAAATATATTAATTCTCCTCTTTGTAAATTCATTAACTGATGAATTTCTAAATTATTTCTTTCCTTCTCCTTTCTATTATATACCACTAAAACTATTCCTGAAGTCATCCTGTACTTCTTAATTACTGTCATTTTTTTAAAAAGAACTTCTTGAGATAAATGCTTAGTTCCCGATTTTCCTTCCCTCCTCTTTCCTTCTTTCCTCCCACCCTCCTTCCTTCCTTTCTAACAGTGAGGGCACTGAAGGCATTTTCTTCTAGGTGAGATGTTGGCCACAGCTCATGAGTTTTGCTATATACTATTCCCATAGTTATTTCAGAAAAGGCTTAGTCATATAGTTTTTTTGATGTCCTTTGTGACTCAATTGTTAGTTTAGGAAGCAGTCTGATTATGTTGGCTTTTAAAAGTGGTTGGCTTTCAAATATTTTATTCTTGCTATTAATGTCTATTTTTATTGCATTGAGATCAGAGAAGACAGCCTTTACAATTTCTTTCTACAATTTAAGAATTAAGTTTTTTCTTAATCTTTCAAAAACCAAATAGGAATAACTTTTATATCATCTTTACCTCTTTCCCTCGGACATCACCACATACTGTGCTGGAAGTTCTGATTACATATCAAAATACAGCATTGCAGGAAAAATGTGCTAAAATTTCTATCAAAAAAGGAAAAGAGGTTACCTGAAACATATCCGTATCTTTATCGTGTGTGTACTCAACCACCACAGTCTGATTCCTGGACAAAGTGTAGGATATACTGTGTTGACCTTTGCAGCTGATAGCCTAATAATGAAATTAAAAAATATATAAAAACTCATTAAAATTACATTTTAACAACTTACCATAATTCTATTTGTAGTTAAGAGCCATCGTTCTACCAGAAAAACCCAGCACAAGCCAGCATTTCCCAAACAGCCAGCATTTCCCAAACAGCCAGCGCCTGTCCCTGTGCTCTGTCCCCCAATCACAGAGGAGCCAATGCTCACAATTCTGGTTTTACTAGTCTATCTTAATGTGAACACTATTTTATTTAAATCAAACCAAAGTTAATTTACTAGTTTGCAAAACTTGATTTAATGACATTCTTAGGAAAAAGATATGCTTTCTCCATATTACCTAAACTCGCATATTACCGCATTTTTAGACTAATACGGTGATTTAAAATTTTAAAATTTATTTCAGACAACATAAGTCAGTGACATTTTGTTATTTTATTATTATTTTCCCTAGGCAATAGAGATTATAAGCATGGTAAAAGAATCATTGAAGCACTATCAATTTCTATCTAATAAATACTGTCCTATCCAATGATAATTATACCTACCCTCTGTTTTATATCTCATTTTAATCTTGTATAAGCAGTTGCTTTACCCACATATTTATTGAATTAATAAATAAGGTAGGTAATTTAGTGTTTTTTCCTATTTTTAGACTGGAAAAAGCTAATATTTTTCAAATAATTTAGAAATAGTAAGAAAGATATTGCTTTTATTTTGTCCATAATGATATATTTGAACACATCTTAAATTGTGGTCATGTATTTTTAATATTTCTAAATTAACAGAAAAATGGATGTAAATTAGACTCTAAATCATTTCAATTACATTTTATCCATTCTACTTTAACCTAATTTACCTTCATTTTTTACTCTTTTACATTACGCATAATAAATAAAACTTTAATAAGCCTTTCTATTAAGCATTTGTTGAATGACAACACTGTATGAAGAACAAGAAAGCATTCAGAAGTAGATGGCCATATATAGCATGTTAATGAAAATGTACTGAACATTTATATTTGACTAATATAATTGCTTACAGCAGTAAAGAGTACAACATTTCAAATCAACTTTGAAGTTAGCCTGGTTAATCTCATGCTTATTTAATAATCTGCCCTGAGGAACTTCATGATTGAACTAATGTTTTATTCTACTCGCGTCATTAATACAAGTATTAGAAATAATACATATCTTTAATATGGTCAGGAATCTAAAAAATACTTCTTAAATTACTCAGTAACACTAACAAATATAATCCTAAATTTTCATTGGTCTGAGTCAGTAAATTTAACGGTAGTGACATTCGTTCCCAAATTTACAAAGAACTATTTCCAATTTAAGTGGATATCATTCATGTATTAATTAATTTAATTGTGGCAATCATTTCACAATTGTGGCAATCATTTCACAATGTATATGTGTATCAAATAAATTATCATGCTGTACACCTTGAATATATACAATTTTAACTTGTCAATTATACCTCTATAAAGCTAGGACAAATTCAATTTGAAAAAATAAGTGGATATTTATAGTCAGTAAAAAATGTACTTTAAGAAAAATAATTTATTAAAGTCAAATTTACAAAACTAATAATTTGGGTGTGATCATTTATAAAATAATTTATTTTAAGGTTCCTTAAAAAGTGTCCATTGCATTTTAAAGGGATTCAATTTACAAATACTCAAACACAACTTTCTTGGCATACACTTATTATATCAAATAAGAATGATTGTAGTCTGTCAGTTATCTGCAAAGCAAGGCATTAACAAATACTGTAACAGAAAACCTTTTAAGAAGTTACATGTTTTTGTATGACGGTATTTTCTTAAGTATGGTGTTTCTTAAACTTCCACCAAAGTTGCCTGAACTGGAAGAGAGTTACCCGAACCTTGGAGATGTCTGAGGGAGCAGCCCTCAAACGAAGTTTCTCATGGTTAAAACATCTTACCTTAAATTATAAATTTTGTTTTCTACTGCAGAATATGCTTGCTAGCTTTAATATTTAAACATTTCTTCCAGATGTGCTGGGAAGTCAGTGCCTTAGGAAGACTCGCTGTGCTCACCCTGAGATGTGCCTGGCACGGCCCCGCGCAGGGGTCCCTAGAGACACCTCCTTGCCACTTTGCGAAGCACCAGAAACGGTCATTTTATGGGCTCTATGTTGTCCCTGGACACAATCCTTCTATGGCGTTTAATTCTAAAAATATTCTTGTGACCCAAACTATTCATGTAAGCCTATGTAATACATGAAAAAGGATATTTACAGGGACAGTGTCACAATACCTGGAAATTGCCCACAGCAAGGGGAAGCCTTGCCCATGCCCATGCCCATGCCCAAGCCCAGACCGGAAAGGAAGCACTGGTACTTTGGGGCCTGGAATGTGGAGCCCATTTAAAGAAAGGTTATAATTTCAAACTTCTGCCACTTTTTTTATGTTGCTAAAGGCGAATGGCTAGGCTTAGGAAAGGTGAATGCTCTTGGGTTAGGAAAGCACTTTTTCTGCATCTTTTTAAAGAAAGTCCTAGCTGCGGGCTAGGAATTGGAGGCCTCTGGATTTGGGGAGGATGGGGAAGTGGGAACGGAGACTGTGTGGGAGAAACAAGTCCCCAGAAGGCGGTGAATGGCTCCCCAGCAGTGGATAACGCACCCTCTGCAGCCCGGGTGGCTGAGGAACTTCAGGATGAGTGTGACGTCCACCTCAAAGTCACTTCCAGTTCTGGCAGGGGTTTCCCTCCAGTACAACTAAGCCAGGAGAGGAGTCCTGCCCACACAAGGACCCTGAGTGCCGATGCCCCAGGATCTAAACAGGCTGTACCCACAGGAAGCAGAAGCATGGTGAAGAGCTGGCCTGAAAAGACTGAGACTTAAATGAGGACTGGGATTTGGAGCAAAAACATGGCAGTCAAAACCCAACTAGCCAGGAGTTCAAAACCAGCCTGAGCAAGAGCGAGACCCCATCTCTACTATAAATAGAAAGAAATTAATTGGCCAACTGATATATATATATAAAAAATTAGCCGGGCATGGTGGTGCATGCCTGTAGTCCCAGCTACTTGGGAGGCTGAGGCAGAAGGATCGCTCGAGCCCAGGAGTTTGAGGTTGCTGTGAGCTAGGCTGACGCCACGGCACTCACTCTAGCCTGGACAACAAAGCGAGACTCTGTCTCAAAAAAAAAAAAAAAAAACCCAACTAGCATCTTCAGAAATAAATGCAGAGATGTGGACTTCTTTCAGTTCTGTGAGTTAGGGCTCACATGATCTTGTTTGCCTGTTAAAGTCTAGGGCAGGGTCAGATTTAAGTGGTTGGGGGGAGTTAAGACGAAAATTTAAGCTTAAGATCAATTTTTGCTTTCTTTCTTGGGTCTAGTCTTACAGAGAAGTCTGTAAGTACACAAGGCATTAAGCTTTTTGGGTTTTTGTTTTTGGTTAGAAGAATCAATTTTCCAACAATATTTTTTTAACATTTAAAATATGACTTTTAGAAATACAGCTTCTAGAAAATTACGAAGTCAATATCTGTAGTCAATCATTTCAGGTACTTTGGAAATAAAAATTTCCCCAAGGCACCATGCTGTTTGGAAATCTGTTTCTGAAATATCAGAAAGGAGAGTGGGTGGGGCCTTCTCTTGGCACACACTATAATTTGGTTCGAACACAATTATTGTAACATAACGTTGTGATCTTACAACACTAGCACAAATCTAGAAACTGGGCTCTTTAACACTGTAAAGAACACTGGCCTTGCAGCTGGTCAGGTGGACAATGCTGATCTCCTATGTCCTCTTTTCTACTGTGGGGCTGTGGCGAGAAGGTGGGTCGCTGACTCCGCTCTCGTAACACTGCCTGCAGCTCAAAACACAGGTCCAGTCTTATTTGTTTCCAACCCCAGCACCAAGGGAACAGCAGCAACTGCTGAATGTCAAACTGCTACTGTACATGAGGAGATTCAGAGCTTCTTTCCTCAGGTTTTCCCCTCACTTTCCCTACTTATCACTAGCAAAGGAGTGACACTCTCAGCTCAAATGTTTTGCATCTATAAATGCTAATATTACCAGTTTGAATTTTATTGGGTTAAAAATACACAATTAGGGAATTACAGATACACAGATTAAAGGATTCCAACTTTATCCAATTTAAGAAATTAAGCATTACTATGCAATCCCAGCCGCCCAGACCAGGTCTGAGCCAAGACATTATCTTCTTAGCCGAGGATATGTTATTTTCTTAGTTCTATGCTACTTACACCGTAGGCTCACCTCAGCCTGCCTTTGTCATTCGGGGATGAGAGCAGTTAGAACTGGTTATCCTGGTTCGATTTACAACTATAAATTAACCAGGGGGTTCTCTGAGTCTCCAGATTCTAAAGCAAACATGGCTCACACATCCACAGAATTTTCTTCCAGTTAGAAACCCGCATGTACATACATGAAAGCACTTACGGGGATATATGACATGTAATGACACAGGAGGTAATCTTGACAGATGCATAATGGGGATGCAGGTCTTCATGGCAGCCAGAGAGCTTTCATGCAAATTTTAAAGTATAAGGGAAATAATTCCATCTTTTATTTGTTAAGAAGTGGTGGTAGCTTTCAACCACAAAGTCAAAGGGAAAAACCCTACAGAGACACTAACAACGGGTTTCTAGAAAATACTAATTCCTTATGATTTAGCGCATTTAATTCAAGCTCTATGAGGCTGCTAAGTGAGACTCTGTCAACGGTGTTGGGTGAGAAGATGGAATTCATCACTGTGGAAGACACTGTTGGGTTCCTACCAAATGCCCTTCTCCCTGCTAGCTGGGCCGGCTTCCTGCGAGAAAGCCTGACAATGCCAACCCTCACTCTCCTGTTCTCCTCTGAGGCTAACACGTGGAAATGTGACACAGCCCTGGCCAAGGGGACTTAGGAGAGACCCAACATGGACCTCCTGGGGATGAGAGACACCAGGAGGGCTCCTTCCTGTCTCTGTCATTAGAACAATGATGGACATGTGCAGCTGAGGTGGACGTCCTGCTGCATGAGAGGGAGGTCAAAGACTCTCAGGGAGGTTGGCTGAAAGTCCTGACATCTTTGAGAGGCTGAACCAAGCCTGGAACTACCTGTCCCCAGACTTCTGAAAGAAAAGTGAGGGTTTTAGGCTGCTTCTGGTTGGGTATTTGGTGACCTGCAGTGTAAAGCACCATTATCCTGTTTGGCCCAAACTTGCTTTTCCTCCTGGGTTTCCTATTTCACTCAACGGCACAACCATATTCCCCGTCACTCACACTTAAAGGCTCCAGCTCACCTCTGAGCCCTCTCCTGCCACTGCTGTCCACATGCGATTAACATTATTACCAGCATAATTAATCTACCAGGGAGTCAAAGCCAGGCTCACTGATTTCCTGCAGTAAGGCAAAAGTCAAATACAAAGCAAAGAGAATGACATGTAACAGTTCACCTTTTCTCCTCAAATACAAAGTAGTTATTGGGCAACCAGTACCTACACAACTGATTTATTCCCCAAAGGAATGTTATAATCAGCTCCTACAGCCCGTAACTTTCCGTTCTGGAGATGACTGGCGGCAGTCTGATTCGCCTCCCCTGGAGCCTGGGCTGGCCTGTCCAACAGCATGCAGCGGGAGGGATGCAGGGGGCTTCCGAGGCGGGGTCAGGGGAAGCCTTGTGCTTCCCACCTGCCACTCTGGGAGTTCCCGGCTGCGGGTAAAGAAGCCTGGCTAGGCAGATGCCACCAGATGCCCCAAGGCGGCCAAGCCACCGGGAGAATGAAATGCCATGTGAGGAGGGGAGGCCTGGGAGCATGAAGACGCAGACATGTGAGGGATGAAGCCCCCTTGGGAATGGATCCTCCAGCCCCAGCTGCACCAGATGTGGATCAGAGACAAACCACTCAGCTGCACACTTCCCAAATTTCTGACCCACAAAATAATGAACAGACTAGAATGGTTTCTGTTAAGTCACAAAATTTTGGAGTAGTTAGACAACAATCAGTTTTCAAGGCCTACTGGTGCCAGAGCATTTTCTGTATCTTGTGTGACTCATCACCTAAGACATTACAGTTAATTGTGTGACTACCTTGTCTGCACCCGAGGGCATGTGATAGGCGTGTCTACCATGGCAGGCAGTGTGGTGTATTCACAAGGAGCAGGGACTATGTTTCTAGTGGAAGTTTCATGTGCTCCTGAATGTATGTTAAGAGGCTGTGGTTAGTGCAAATTTGTATTTTTATTGTGATAATCTCCAGTTGTTACAAGGCTGAGAAGTGAAGAAAATTTCACATTAAAATATTTAAAGATTAATATATAAAAAGAATCTGTAAATCATTCAAAAAATTGTCAGAGAAGGCAAAAGCCATCAAGTATGTCACATTGACATTTTTTACTCTTTATACATTTGGAGCAGGAGTATAGAGGATACTAGGCAGGCAGGAGAAGAAAGTAACCGTTTATGTTAGAAACTGTGAAGCCAAACTTTGGCAAACTATATGTTATGTATTCCAAAGGGGTACGCCTTACTGGAACCCACCTCATTTAAGGGAATGCAGTGTGTGTGCATGTGTGCTCATGCATTAAGTTTCAAATAAAATGAAATTCTTTTTCTTCAAAACTACACCTAATTTTTCTATTAGTATGTTTTTCTTAGAACCAAATGACTCAAGAGTTAATAATCCCTCGTCTAGACATCCCGAATGTCGATTATTACAGAAACGCAGTTACTGTTCCTGGGTCACACAGTAGTCTGACTAAATCAAATGAATATGTTTCTGGAAAGAGCACACCCTGCATAGTCTTCTCTGTGTGTAGATATAATTAGTGTTGTTTCTGCCTCTCAAAAGTGGAGGGCCACAGACCTGGTGTGGCTTCCATGCTAAAGCAAACCAAGTTCTCACTGAGTTGCTCTGAAGAGCCCCGCACCACATGTCTGAATGTGGTGCTAGTTTCTGATGCTGTTCCTCACACCTGTCCTTCAGGTCTCAGCAAAACACCTGGAAGAAAGAGCCCTGGGGCTAGATGCGCTGTGGGCCGAGCATGCCTCCCTCATTCTGCCTTTGTTCAGATCATCTGCTCTCCAGAGTAGTCAGAGGTTCTCTGACAGCCCGCCTGACTGCGCAGTGCTAAGGAAACTGAGCACTCTACTCAGGGAGCTGGTGACCCCTCTGTCTTTCGGGTTCCACCAAGAAACATAATCTAAGTTTGTGTTCTCAATAGCCCTCTAAATGATTGGTCACACTCAGCACTCTTGAGTAAGGCTTCCCTGCCAATGATTCTTCACGTTCTAGGCAAGTTTATTTTCAGCCACTTTACCTGTTAATTCTAATTTGTAATTTAATATTTCAGTCCATTATACAATGTAAGTAAATAACTATGTAATAGGATTGTAGCAGAAAGGACCTAATGAAATTGGAAAAATAACCACATTGGCCTCTCACGGTGGTTTTGGTTACTAACTACAAGCATTCCTCATAGGTTGTACTGCAGTAGCAACATTTTAATTGGTATGGGAAAACATATAATGAAACTGTTTTGGGATAGGTCTGAATGGGGCCAATGAGTCAAATCTTTGTTGTTCAAAAACAACTTCTAATATAGTGTTTATGTTTCTGGCAGAAATGTGCACATTTATGAGCAAACGACCGTGCAGCAGCCTGGAAATAACAGTTAAATGACTTTACCTTCTGGAGCGCTGTGCATGCTGTGACAGGGGTATCAAGCGTGTGTGGGCATGCACTGATTATCCCGTGAGGCACCTGGTACTAGTTCCCATCACCTCACCCCAATATCCACTGATAATACAGCAAAGGCTTGAATATCGTGCAGAAGAAAACACTCATGCCAAACTGGCTCTCTCAATATGACCACCTGGTTTATTCTGCTGAGCTCCAACTTCA